GAATGCAAAATGACACCCTTGTCACAGCTTTTTCATTTTATAAAAACATAAAATATCACAAAGATTTGTAACAAAGATTTGGAATTATATGTTCTAATAATTTATTCTGCTTGCTCCTCCAGTCTGAGCCAACCCTTAGCTTACTACCTATTTGTGCAAAGCAATGACAATGACACCCAACTACTTCATTTCACCTCCCCCTCTTAAGTAAATGCTTTTTCGTTCTCTTATATCTGGACTTTATAGCAGCAGCTGTAAAAATATTACCCCATTGGAAACTAGGGCATGGGTGAACTGCTGCATCATTTTCATTCACTAAATACACAAGTGTGTTCTGCTTTTTTTAGTCAGTATTATCAGTCTTTATAGTTCCTTGAAACAAGTCTCTACATCTTGTATTTACAAAACGGATAAATCTTGAGTTGCATCCACACAGGAATTTTTCCATGCCTTTGTCACTGATTGTTGCTAGCAGACATTCCAGATTACCGTTACCTAAGTAATCGTGTAATTTATTTACTATCCTATCATATGTCATTAAATGACTTTCTCCGATTTCATTGTTAACCTCTTGTCATGAACCCAGAGGGTTCGTATGAAAGGCAGACCCAAAAACAGACTCAAGAGCTGATTCACTTCTTGACCAGACTTTTTTTTACACAACAAAACCAAAATTATCTGTAAACATATGTGAGAAACACCAGTGGAGAGGGGAGTGAAGTGGGATCTCTGATAAGCAGTTTTCAAACAGAGGAGATTGTGGTTACTGACTAAAATAGTAGAGGAGGGGCTCTGTAGGTGAGTATAGGGCTGAGGGATGTTTGCGTACTTGCAGGTTGCACCCAAGACCCTTTGGGAAGGATAACCGAGGGAGTGTCTATGCAGGGAGTGAGCACTGGAGGTAGCAGGGAATCCATATCTCGGTTCTGGAGGAGTTCCGGTGGTGCACAGTGGAGACAAAGGCAGGCATAGGTAGTATTGCAGGTGAAACCAGCGGCTGAGTGCAAATGCAGCAGCGGACGGATCTTGGAGGACATGACTGGGAACTGAGACACAAGGAAACAAGTTTTTACACAGGGAATAAATCACAAAAGCAAAATTATTAGAAGACCTAGTTACCACTGAGGGCAGAAACTACAGGAAGCTAGCGAGCGCTGGCTTTAAGAACACTCCTGCTGATTAGCCTTGGAATGGAACTCTGGCGAGGCACTCTGCTCAAGAAGATGAACACAGGAAACTCATCGCCTCCAGCTGGAAAATCCCAGACACTCCCATGGACCATGACACTTCTTCAGTCACTGGACTTAAATTTGAGAGATGATGAACTCATTGTCAGTTCTATGACACTCACCACATCAGTGCTAGCTGCTTCCTGTGTAGATGCTCCTTTGTAACCAAAATCTGAGTAATTGCTACTAATACTGTATAGCTTGGAGCTGTGTTGCATGTATATTTATTATAAAAGTCTGAACATAAAAAACTATAAACTGCAACTTCATTGGATTGTGGAGACATAAAATTTAAGACTATATCTAAAAGATGCACTGAGAAAATGACAAGTGATTTGTGGTAATTATGGCCATTTTTTAGAATAAAGTGATTGCCAATGGTTGTGTAAAAAATGCATTGACAGTGTATGCTAGGGTCTTCACTTTTAGATAAGGCAGTGCATGGAAACCCAGGTAAATATAAAACAGAACTTTCTAAGATGTCTTTATACTTGTCGATGTTATCTAATTTAACCCGTGACCTAACCTAGTTTTACTGGCTAAATCGAGCCATTCAGGAAGTGAAAACGAAAGCAATCAGTGAGTGAAAAAAAA